CCCCCCCATATTTCAAAAACGGTGCGTATACTCAATCTGAAATTTTATTATGTGTAAAGGGTCACCCTATAGATGAAAAAATACCTCACACCGACCCCAATTTCGAGGGCCCGAAAACGGGCGAATTTTAGCCCTTTTTGTGCAAGGCTCTTTGAATTAACTATTATCGTGTACATTTTCGCAAGGAAAACGATGGTAACACTATATCGACAGCTAAACTACCAGGCCACGTAGTTCGGTTTACGACGTTGTAGACCTCCTGTCATAATTTATTTTTCAAATGAATGACTCCTCGAAGTCAATTCTTGAAAACTTCCGTGTTTTTCCCCCTAAATGCGAAAAAAACCCAGTAAAAATTCCAAGAAATTATATTGCTTTGTTCTCCTTCAAGATTTTCATGACTTTTACTTTAAAAAAATATCCCTTTGTTGGAACTACAATTTCTGACTCAGTGTAGCAGGATATGTACTATTAGTTTCCCTATGCACATAAGTGTTGTTACCGATGAGCCAGAAAAAGTATAGTTTCTAATTGAAAACAGTCTATTTGGATTCGGCGTCTCTGCACCGAGTGGCAACTGGATTACATTTTGCAATAAGGAACCACTATCTCTGGCTCTCCTATAGAAGCACATATCTGTATGGGGAAACCAATGGCATACATGTTGTTTCTAAAATGGGCCAGAGAAAGGCGGTTACTCATTGCAAAATGTAATCCAACTTGCCGAGTGTATTAATTGCCGTCTATGCATAGACCAATACAGACTCTAAATACAGACCAAAGTTTCTTTTCGGAGGAGGTATATCCAAAAATGACGAGTTTAACTCATTCTTAATCTGAACCATATTTTCCGCAGATGTTGTGCTGAGTTTTCCCTGCGTCTCGGCGAACTTTCAGCATTGGATAATTCAGCCCTGGTGAAAATTGGCGATAGGAGCTGCGTTTAAAATACCATAGTTCTTACAGCCGACTAAAGAAGGCTATCTAAGGAGGCATCAGAGGAAAATTACATCGGACCAGAACCAGTGTTTGGACTGACCAAAAAAGGATTCAGAACAACAGTGAGGGACTGGGTGATGGAAGAGGCGAACAAAGAGTGGCAGAATGCCGAGGGCATGAGACATTCCAGCAAATGCTGGAAGGCTACTCAAGGAAAATGACTGCAAACCTGTTGCATCGTAGCAGGGAGCAGCTAGGCATACTGTCGGGATTACTGACAGGACACAATCTCCTGCGGAAACACATGCACAGGATGGGTATCTTCAAGGATGAACCAAAGTGTAGGCTGTGTGAGGTAGAAGAGGAAACTGCAGAGCATATCATCTTCGACTGTGAAGCTCTGGAAATGAAAAGACAGGACATCCGAGGAGATAACTCCTGGGATGACTGTCTAGCACCTGAG